GTTTTTTTGGATTCACTGCTACATGTTCCAAATTCCCCAAATGGTCAAAATAGCCATTCCCCTTAGCCCAGGCTTTTGGTTAGGCTGAAAACAGCATTATAAAAGTGGTCCAGGGCATGGTGGTTGTTCCCTAATTTATTAGTGTTCATTGTAAATTATAGTATCTCATTGTAGAGATCAAGTGGAGAAGTGTGTAGTGACACTGTTGTGTGTTTTGTACACTTTATACAAGCAGTGCTGTTGAGTGAATGCCATTCCACTTACTGTTTCTAATTCAGTGATGAAGAAAGCTGAACCTCTGACCTGGAAGCAGTACATTTCCTAAATCACACAGATGGGGTTTCTAGTGTTTCACCTGCTAGGAAGTAACCAGCAGAATTCTGTTGGTTCTTGATAACAGAATGCCTTTTGCTACAGTTGCCCTATCTCTCAGCCCCCTGAACTTCTGTTAAAAATTGATTTAAATAAGGTTTTTAACTGTTACAGAGTACTAAAGAATTATTGTAACAGGTACAGTTCACTGCCTTCTGCTTACATGAAGCTACTACGTGCTGGTGACTGCTCATTGCTGACGTTAAACTTGTGAAAATGAACTTCTCTTTGCAGCTGATAGGCATTCAGGATGGGTATCTCTCCCTGCTGACAGAAAGTGGTGAAGTTCGTGAGGATCTAAAGTTGCCAGAAGGGGATCTTGGCAAAGAAATAGAAGGAAAATTCAATGCCAATGAAGATGTGCAGGTAAGTAGGGAGGGTGGACAAGAGCAGTTAGGGTTAATGCCACTTGATGGTACAATGAAGAAGCCTTACTCTGATATTGACCACTTGTATCTCTTTGTGAAGGGTGGGCTTGAGGGGTGGGGATTGGTCCTTTGAGATGTAGGAGGATACTTGGACTGGAGCACTCAAAAGAGATGGGGTAAATATTAAAATGTGAAAGTTTGTAACTCACAGGAGCACTTCCCGTGGCTGGAGCTCACCTCTGTGTCTTCTCTTCCAGATATCTGTCATAAGTGCAATGAATGAAGAATGTGCTGTAGCCATAAAGCCTTGCAAGTAAAGAAGATCTCCAGGCTCGGGCAACTGCTCAGGTCTGGACAAACCACAGATCTATAAATTTGGTCCTTATTGTCACCAAAGCTCTGGCCTTCACAAGCAACCTCATTTCCTTTTTGAATTGTTAAAAAGCAGTGCTGGATTTTGGATTAGTGTTGCAGGCTAACTGGCAGTTTTCAAAATCACTGAGATTTTAATTCCTTAATTGTAACTATTTTAACATTCCTGTGGGTTTCAGCTATGGATCTAAGAAACCAATCAGGTGTTACTAGTGGATATATTTTTATTTGCTTGAGCAAAACAGTGTTTGTCTGTATGAACAGACAAAATACAGTATTCAGGGGCTTTTAGATAAGCTGGTAGGTATCTAGGAATATAAAGTGACCTAGAGCACAAATAGTATTTTTCTTGACATCTTTAGGTAGAACTGACAATAAAAGTAGCTTTTTTTTTTTTTTTTTCCTTTTTTTAAAGCTTAAGTACTTTGTGGATTGGGACTCTTGCAGAACTGTAGGTGCCAATCACAACTTTTAGACCAAGAAACTCAAGTGATCAGAAATGCCAGCTGGCTTGACCAAGCCCCAGTGGCCATGTGCAACTAAACTGTATTACCTCTGTTTTCTTCTTTGCCAACTTGTTGGCTTATTGTAACGATAAAATGGTTTAAAAAAAAAAAGCCTACCTGTGGTTTAGGCAGGCCTTTGGAATATTGAGTGGATAAGACATAGATAGGTCAAGGGGACACAAAGGTGAGAATGGATGTTAAAGCTATAGACTTTCACTCGAGGCCTTTGTCAGACTTGAAAAATAAAATAGAAAAATGCAGTTCAATTGCTTTCCTTTATTATATTTATCTTAAACTATACAAGGGTGACAAACTCCATGGGAATCTGTTGCAGTGCTTCCAGCTTTAGGTTTTAACCTTCAGGTTCAGACCATATTTTTGTAGCACAGGGACCACACGTTTTTCAGAAAGTGGGACAAACTGTAGCATTGAGCCTAAAATAAATGCATGTGATTCTTTTTTAAAAAAAATAAAACTATTGTATTTTCAAAACATAAACTTGACAGACGATACCGAACAACCATGGCTTCATTATAAAAGTAAATAACTTGCTACCTAGTTAGGGAAGCTGGCTCCTGTCCTGGGGAGTTCTGAGTCATAGCAACATGCATGCATGCCTCTGACTATTTAGTAGCTTAACAAGGCTTCACAGCAATAGTTATGGAAGGATAATTAGCCTGCTCCTCTCTAAGGTGTTCAGCTTGAATTCTAAAACTTTCTGACTCTTCATGAGTGGGGAAACTTCCTTAGTCCCTGGCTCAGACCTGTCTTCACAGCTGATAGATTGTTTCATGAACTTGCCTTAATGCTCAGTGGCTGATGGAAGATGACACAGAGGCTGCCCCGGACAGCACGCACAATTCACACTACTTGGCAGCCAGAGTTGGACTCCATGCTGCTCTTAACTGCTTAAAATTTTTCCAGCTTCATAGTTTGTACTCTCTAGTCCCTAAAGGGCTCGTGGCAACTGTCCTGAGCTGCCCTTGGCCACACTGGGGCAGGGCTTAGCAAACCTTGGAGGTGTAATGCAGGTGGCAGAAGCATGCGTTGTCCACAGACTTCCCACGCCGGGGAGAGCAGTACCAGTGGAGGTAAAGACAGCAATAAATACACTCTGGTAATAAAGCACAGCTGCCTGGACACCTGGCACAGGTAGGACCTGCCACACGCTCTTGCCTAGCACAAAACATGTTGCAGGTGAGCTCTATAAATAGCACCTTGACTGAAATGGCAAAGCTGCTTTTAAAAGAAGCTCTAGATAGAAATGCTTCCAGAATAGTTCTGAAGTGGATGAGGAATAGTTCAGGCTGGTCTGTGCTGTGCTCCCTTCTGCCTCTCCATCAAGCTGGTACCTGGAAGTCAGCTTTGTTGGCTTTGGAGGTGTCTGTAACCATTGCTGCTGGTGCTGGCAGCGAGCTGAGCTGTGTGGTGTCACATGGGAGGTCACAGGTTGCTATGTCAAACTAATGCAAGTTCTATCACCATATTACAAATACTTCCAATACGCTTGAAAACTACAAGACTTGAATTTGTCCTTGCTCTGGTAGTGCTTTGGTCTGTTCTCAGGTTCCTGTCTGTCCTCTAAAACCTCGTTGGCAGGCAGGTTCTTGATGTCACTGGCCCACAATCTGAGCAGTTGCTCGGACTGAGCTCTGGGACCTGGGCTGGTTGAAGCCCTGTTCCTGCAAGTGGAGTCCTGGCCTGACTGGAGTTTTCAGGTACTACAGCAATCTGCAGAGAGAGGTTTCATGACCTCCAGCTTGCTGGAAGAGGCCCTCCTCAGGGCTTCCAGATGTCCTTCTATTGCAACCTTCAGTTCTGCAAGATTTAAATGATTAAGTACTTCATTTTAGGTTTGTTCTTAAATACTTAGTTGTCTTTGTGAAGCACTTCAGACACCATGGAAGTGCAGGGCATCATGCATGAAGTTTCCCATAGGTACATAAGCATGTCTTAAAGCATAATATCCAAGTTTCAATAAGGTTGCTTCTAAATTAAAACATGTATTTGAAGCTTTTTATTTTTTTTCCAAAGTAAGACGCTTCAGTTTTCTGTCAGAATCGTTGCAACAAACTTTGTGACCAGTAGTCCATAGAGATGTGTATTTTTAATATCCATAACCAAGTGCTTAGGGAAGTTCTCCTTTCATAGCTTTACTTTAAAACAGATCTTACTGGTGTATTTGTATTACTGTCTTAACACTTAAATTGTGTCAAAACCATAAACTTCTTATAGCTGATGGCAATTGCTAAGGGTAAAGCCTGTGAACAAACACAGGGAGGTGGTGAGGTATTTCCACTCCAAATAATGTGGTTTTTTATGGCTCCTGTTCATTGAGTTACTACTTCACACAATTGGAAAGACTGCAGTGTTTCCTGCCTCAAATGTTGGCAAATAATACTTTGAGAATTCAGTAGATCCTTCTAATTTTTGCTTACAATGGTGGTTTTTCAACTGGGCTCTTGCTGGTTGAGCCATGTTCTCAGGGCTGTTTTTTTTTTTAAGCTGAAGTTCATTGTTTCTCTTGCAGGTTTTTCTAATCCGAAGTGTACCCAGAAACGGTGCACGGTCTGTAGTTTCACAATACAGATAATTTTACATAATCTGTAAAGAAGTCAAGTTTGTTGACAGTTCTAACTCTTATGGTTACTGCAGGTCAGTCTCACAGAATTCAAAATTCAATAAATCCCACTATTTTATTTTTTTTTTTTCGGTCGAGTAATTAGAACGTAGTTTGTTACAGTAGAACAAAACTTCAGGCTATAAAGAGACCTTGTCCGGGATATTTCGAGTATCCACTGGGAATGTCGCTGAAGGGTTGGATCCTGGAGCGATCAGCACGAGGTGGCCGGAGGCTCTCCAGCACTGCGGCCCTGCAGTGTTTGGCATCCGAGAGTGACTTGGTTTGTTGGATCCGAGCAAATGTTTGCTGTGCTTTGCTGTATCGCAGACCCCTTTTGTCCTGTGCTGTGTGTTGTAAGCAAACCTGGCTGCTGCTGCTCCCGGAGCCTTTCCCTGCTCCTGGGCAATCCCGACTGTAACCCGCCAGATCCGGGCGCGGCGGCAGCTCCGGTGTCTGTTTGGGAAGCTCTGTTACTGTTCTCAACACCATGGAAACGATCAGGGGAAAGATTTGTACGTGTGTGTGTGTTTTTGCTCCAGAAATAATAAAGGTGTCAGTGCTGTGGGGAGATGGTGCTCGTTGTAGTGACGGGAGCGCGGTGGGGCTTCCGGGGGGGGTTCCACGGGCGGAGGCCGGGCGCACGCGGTTGGTGCGGGAGGAAGAGGAAGGCGTGAGGCCGCGTGCCCTCCCGCGGGAATGACGCCGGGAAACCACACGGGATTCCCTGCGCGGCGCCGCCATCTTCCCGGGAGCGCCGGCGCCTCCCGGCGTGCCCCGCGCGCCGGCGCGGTGACGTCACCGCCGCGGCTATAAAAACGCGGCGTGGCGCGGCGCACTTCCTTTCTGCAGGAGCGGCGCGGCGGGAGCGTCATGGCGCCGGTGAGAGCGGGAGGGAGGCGGCGGCGGGAGCGGCATGGCGCTGGTGAGCGGGAGGGAGGCGGCGGCGGGGCCGGCCGGGGGAGCCGTGGGGCGGCTGAGAAGCCGGCGGCCGCCCGGTGCGAGCGGGGCTTTCCCGAGAGGGTTTCGTGTGGAACGCGGCCGGGCCGGGCCGGCTGTAGTGAGGCGCGCTGGCCGGGAGGGGGCGCTCCCGCTGCCGTGTGTGTCCTCCCCCCCCCGGGTCGGGAAGTTTTTTTCCAGCGCGGTTCGTTAATGCTGAGGAATCCTTTGGTGTTCTAGCAAAAGGACCGAAAATCCAAAAAGTCAACCTGGAAGTTTTGCCTTGACCTGACCCACCCTGTGGAAGATGGAATCTTTGATTCCGGGAATTTTGTAAGTGGTGGTTTTGCTCATACTTGTGACGCATAGTTTAATAAAAGCTTTAGTGCAGTAACTGAGCTACAGTCGAAAAGCTGCATTCTAAATGTGTTAAATCATCAGCTGTTCTTTAAAATACTGTCATTTAAAAAAACCAAACTATAGGCTTTATAGCATTCTTCATACCTGTCCATGAATAGAACTGTTTTAAATTAATTTCTGCTTTAGCACAGGGGTGATTTTTTTTATAATCACGTGCTGTAAAATATTTTTGCGTTCTAAATACTTCTGTCAGGACATAAGTAAATGGTGGTTTTTAATGTTGCTTCCTGACTAGGGTCCCTTCCCTAGTTCATACCTAGGGTGCCCTTCCCTAGTGTTCTATTTCTTTAACGTTGAAACAGGAACAGTTCCTAAAGGAGAAGGTTAAGGTCAATGGGAAAACTGGAAACTTGGGCAACACCGTTCACATTGAACGTCTGAAGAACAAGATCACAGTGACGTCAGAGAAGCAGTTTTCTAAAAGGTTGGCATGGGTTTCATTGTGTGTTTTTGTGGGGTTTGAACTGTGGGATGTGGGATGTAAAACCAGAGTAATTTAGCTTGGAAGAGATCTTCACAATCATCAGGTCCAGCCATAATCCTGACACTGCTAAATCTGCCACTAATCCGTGTCCCATAAACACACATTAATATTCAGCTCTTGCCTGCAAAATAAATTCCAATTAGAGCACTTCTGATATTTGGAGAGGTGTTAGCTCTGACCTTCATAGCACTTGTAAATATTAGTGAAACATGTAATTGAAACAGATTTATTATATCAGATATTTAAAAATCGCTTTTTAAAAGTCAAGGCTTGATTGGTAATTAATGTTGACTCTAGGCATATTAATAGAGATACTTTATATAGGTCCTTGGCAGTGTATCAGTGGAAGATGGACCTTTAAAGTAACACTGAATTAATATCGTGGGTGGCTGTTTGATTATTTAATTGGTTGTATTACAGTGAACGTGTGCTTGATGTGGGTTGTTGCAAACAAACCCTTCAAGCCTTAAACTGTTGAGTTTTTTAGGACAAACAAGAGCTGAGTGCACTGATGGGAGGTGCACATCCTTCCCTGCATCCTCCCTTTGTTTGCTGGTACAGGTGCTGCAGATCTGTTAAGTTAGACCAAGGTTTAGAAGCAGTTACCAGTGCTGTCCAGTTACTGGCATTTTGCTGTGCAGTCAAATGAACAATAAATTCCTACATATGTGTAGTGAAAATTCACTTTTATTGCCTGTTGCACGTGACATTTTTCTGTTTCTGGGTGTAATTACTGCCCTGCTGCAGACACTGCCTGGGGTGGAGTGCAGACAGCAGCAGGGGGTGTCCAGTGAGACTCTTCTGAGGCGAAATTGCTGGTTTTCAGGTACCTGAAATACCTCACCAAGAAGTACCTGAAGAAGAACAACCTGCGGGACTGGCTGCGCGTGGTGGCGTCCGACAAGGAGACCTACGAGCTGCGCTACTTCCAGATCAGCCAGGACGAGGAGGGCTCCGAGTCTGAGGAGTGAGCCGGCCTCGGCTCCACACTCTCTGCAGAGTACAAAAGACTACAACACCTATTTATGAGAACACTTAACTTATTGGTGAATAAAGGTTTTGTTGGACAGAGCACGGTTGGTTTTCTGGTGTTTCTCTGAAGTTTTGATTAGAAAACAGCACGGGAATTGTTGGATTTGCAGTTTTGCTTCCACTGACAGGAATCAGCTGTTCAGTTGGCACCAGTGAAAGTCCCAGGAGGAAAAAACTGAGCCCTTTGCCCAGTACATGTGTAAGCACAGTTAAATCAATTTTTAGTCATATTGGTACAAATAATTCTAGAGCTTGTGACTGAAAGTACGAGCTCCTGTGAATTTATGTGAAGGTAATGGCAAAATATTTAATACAAGTTTACTTCAGTTTGGCTTAAAATAGACTTGCAGATAGTAAAGATTATTTTTTTTTCTGTGTGATTTACTTCATTCCCTAATTGGTTGTGGTATTCTGAGGAAAAAACTGAGCCCTTTGCCCAGTACATGTGTAAGCACAGTTAAATCAATTTTTAGTCATATTGGTACAAATAATTCTAGAGCTTGTGACTGAAAGTACGAGCTCCTGTGAATTTATGTGAAGGTAATGGCAAAATATTTAATACAAGTTTACTTCAGTTTGGCTTAAAATAGACTTGCAGATAGTAAAGATTATTTTTTTTCTGTGTGATTTACCTCATTACCTAATTGGTTGTGGTATTCCTATGTGTAACCACAAGTCAAACTGGAGGACAACAAAGGTTTCATAGGTTTATATTAGATGGATAAATAAGGAAGTGGAGACAAACCTGATTACCAGCAACCACCTAAAACATCTTAAAGAAAGGACCGAGATGTTCTTCAATATTGACAGTGCCTGAATGCCGTAAAATCTATGCAGATGTTTCTCCTTTTATGTTGTGTTTTACAGTTCTTGCATTTGACTTCTGGGATTATTTCTTTAAAACAGGTATTTCTCTAGTACAAGTGGGGAGTTCTTCACTGAAATAATTCCATAACTGTGAACTGTTTTTCATACATTACCAAAGAGAGATTTGTGGTTTCTTTACAAAAAGTATTTGTGAGACTGCACTTGCAGTAACTGGCATGTTACATGCATTTCAGTGCCATGTAGTGTCCTCTGTATGGGATTAATCAGAATATTTACTCAGGTTCCAGTGTGCTGGTGAGCTCTGGAATAAGTAATGCCATATTTGTTCAAAATCATAAACCAGGGATACATCTGGACTCTGATATTGAACTTTGTGCTTGAGCAAGTCTGGTAGTTGAGGCTGAAGTGTGGCCAATAAATTGTTGAATCTCCTGATGATTTTTTTTTTTTTTTAATTATATCAGCATTGTTTTTACTGGCAAACCTCTCTGAATTTAGAGATTTGACAAAGCACAAAACAGTGCATTACAGTCAAATGATATGCACTTCTTGTTACCTAAATCTAAATGAGAATTACAGAAGGTGAAGTGAATTTTGTCGACAGCCTTTTGGGTATCGTTTGTCATTTTCCAGTGTGCTTGGGCCCTGGAGCAGGGAGAGGAGAAGCAGCAGCAGTGGAGTAACAGCTTCTTGTGTCCTGTCTGCCTCACTGGTGGTTTCATTTTGCTGCTTCAGAGGTAGCAAAAAGAAGGGAGCAGTGTGTGTAGCTGGCTGTGAGACAGGATGTGATGGACTTTATGTACTTCAGTGGTAGTTGAGGCTGAAGTGTGGCCAATAAATTGTTGAATCTCCTGATGATTTTTTTTTTTTTTTAATTATATCAGCATTGTTTTTACTGGCAAACCTCTCTGAATTTAGAGATTTGACAAAGCACAAAACAGTGCATTACAGTCAAATGATATGCACTTCTTGTTACCTAAATCTAAATGAGAATTACAGAAGGTGAAGTGAATTTTGTCGACAGCCTTTTGGGTATCGTTTGTCATTTTCCAGTGTGCTTGGGCAGCTATTCCCGAGCAGGGAGAGGAGAAGCAGCAGCAGTGGAGTAACAGCTTCTTGTGTCCTGTCTGCCTCACTGGTGGTTTCATTTTGCTGCTTCAGAGGTAGCAAAAAGAAGGGAGCAGTGTGTGTAGCTGGCTGTGAGACAGGATGTGATGGACTTTATGTACTTCAGTGGAAATAAAACAGCACAATTCCTGCCCCAGTCTGGGGCACTGGGTACTGCTGCCTTGGAATTTCCCGTTGGAGGAAAACCAGGCAGCGGTGAAGCAACAATTAAGGGTGGTTTTCTTTTTCTGAAAATCCCAAAGATAGCTAATGCCATCACAAAACATTTACAGGACCAGTAATTAATGCTGTGTTGAACAAGCCACGTTTTTCATGGTAAAGCTGCATGAACTCACCTGTTTCCTTTGCTGCAGGAAGTTAAGAAAGGGCCTGACTTTACAGTTCCATTTCAAAACCCAGCCCCACCTGGTGTTTCAGGGCTGTGCTTTTATGTGGCAACACGTCCTTTACTTCACACTGACACAACAAACCCGTTGTGATTAAATGGAACAAGCACCAACAAAAATCGGAGCTAATGGGATCACACTGCCTTGTTATCCTTCCTTTCAAAGCAGGCTGGCAGCCACGTGTGTGGTTGTACAGCCTAGCAGACACAGATTGTCACCAGCCAGAGGAAAACAAGGCTCGGGATTGCAAGAAAAAGCAACTTATTTCAGAGCTGGGTTTGGAGGAAAACCACCAAAGTGCTCCTGCAGGTTTCTGTTACTACCTAAGTTTAACTGCAGTGAGGATGGAGGGCAGGAATTCCTTTTCCCAATGCTTAAAATATATTTTTAAGCTTTGAAAAAGCAAAATTCTGTGAACAACTGTGGATCTAGAGTACTTAATTAATTGAATAAAATTTTCCTTTAGATCCAGCCGGGCATTTTTGTTTTGTCCCTCTGTTGCTGCCCAAGCTCCACTGGGCATTCCCAGAGCTTCCCTTCCTGAGCGTGGGTGCTTTTCCAGCTCTTCTGCAGGTAGGACTTTTATCAGGTCATGGTGCATCTATGTGTTAGGTATAGAAAGTGCAAAAGAGGGTTTTAAATGTAAATGGAGCTTTTACAATATTAAAATTTTAATATTGTAATTAATATTATTTCTACAGATGAGACTCCAAGCAACACCTCAGAAAAATGGTGATTCCTCCATAATTTCATGTGTTTTTGCAGCTGAAGTGGCCAGGTGTGATGTAGGTGGCCGGCAGGAAACAAAGCCTGTAATTGTTCAAATGTAAATTTATGCAAATTACCCATATTCGAGTTGAAGCAAGGCTTTTTAAAAGCCAGAGGTCAGTGTTTCTGTGATTTTAGGCAGGCAATAACAGCCAGGTGCCTGCTTTGCCAATTGTTTCTTTCCTACAGAATCTACTGTAAATTCACCAGTTTTGTTCACATTTGGTTTGAAAGTTAAAATATCCCAAACAGCTTGATCACACACAGGATTGACTGTTGGAATTTTCCATGTTTAGTGCTGGACAAGAGCCCAGAAAAGCCCTGCTCGTTGGAGGGCTGGGCTCTCCTCAGAGCAGCAGGGATGTGCTCCTGTGTCAGCCACAGGATGAAGCTGTTGGGAAAAATAATGCACCCACAGCCTGGAGACTGCACAGGTGACAGCAGCTGCACAGGTGACAGCAGCCACAGAAATGCCCCAGTGTCAGATGATGCTCAGGCTGTTTTAGGATTTCCAGAAGGGGTAAGCACAAAATCCAGTAGGAGTGAGTGCTCCAGGAGCACCACTTTGCTTCCACCCAGCTGAGAGCTGTAGTCCATCAAGCCAGAGGTTTAATTTGGGAAGAGGAATAATCATTGCATGTCAAATCTTAACTTCTTTCTGCCAGGGTCGGGATTAAATGCATGAGATGGTATTTCTTGTTTGGACTCGGATGTTTATTAGTTCTTATCTGTGTCACAGACTCACAAACCCTGAGCTCTGCAGCACTTCACTCCAACAAACTGAAAATGGAGCCCCATCTCTCTCCACAAGGCCTTTTAAGGATAAACTGTCCAATTAAGAAATGACACCTCAATTATTTTTAACTTTAACCCAATAACCAACCACCCATGGCCCACAATGTGGGCTTTTTATCCAATTACACAAAACCACCCAAACCCATGGAGAAGAAGGTGGAGAAGAAAGGAAGTAGAAGTAGAAGGTAGAGAAGAAGGAGAAGAAGAAGGAGCAGCCTCTACCCTAAAACCTCCATCTTGCTTTATACCTATTACTATATTCTAAACCCTTAAACTCTGAGATTTGCACCCTGGATATCACACACTTCTATTCAAACTCCACACCCACAATCCCAGCTCTGTCATTCCATTTTGGAAGCTTCTCCACGGCCTCAGGTCAATGCAGTGTTCTCTTGGGGGTCAGTGCCTGGCAGCAGAAAGTCTGAAATTCTCAGTGACCAGGGTTCCAACAATTACAAAGCCCCAGTTGCACTGGAAGCACAGCAGATGGGCCAGGGGGCTCAGCAGGGCAATGGCACCATAACTCTGACAAGGCTTTAATACAGCCGAGATACTTACATAAATATAGTCTATAAATATATATAAATAAAATATCAGATATGTTCTTCCCTTTTTAATAGTTTTCCCCTTCATTTCTCAAAAAATGGTTTCGCTGCTGTCTTCCAAATAAAATCAGTTTATGAGAGACATCCCACACATGTGAAATTCTGATGTCTGTCAAATGAGAAGAAACAGATTTTAAGCACAAGTGGCTGTTGCCAGAGCAGCAGTAGCAGCACCACATAGGCTATTTATGTGTGAGCATACAGAGATATTATTTTTCTGCACCGCCAGTCTTTTATCACTTTTGCTGCAGCAAAACTCTCACTGTCTTCCATTAAAAAAAGAGCAGCAAACCCCACAAGACTTCACCAATTTTAAGCATCACTAATAAAGTTACTTCTAATGTATCTCTATTTTTTCTGTCTGCTTGCCCTCCTGGCCAATATCCCCATCAGAAAACAGCTTCATTAAATAGCCAGAAATAGTAAGATCAGAAATAAAGAGGTAAATAATAGCAGGAAATAGCTGAAAGTGTGTTGTTTACAATATACTCAGCATGTGGCAGGTATTAAAGGAGGTGCAGACTCAACAT